TTTTTTAGCGAATTAGAATTAGAAACTTGTTATTATGTACGAGTCAAGTATGAAGGGCGTCAAAATAAGATTATCCTAACCTCAAGCGTGTGGTTCAGCGGTAGGGGTTGATCCACGCTTAAGCAAGGTCAGGGGTGAGTTCGAATCCTGCCTTGTGTATACAGCCGCGTTAAATCTTGGGGCCAGCTATCCCACCCTTTGAGGTGCCTCCCTCGTAGCGAGAAAATTAGTCACTGCTACCAGTGGTGGATACTCGAGGGAAGAACAAAAAAAAAAAATTATCCTATACAAGTAAATTTATACATATATAATAGTTAATAAATTTTAATATGGTAGTTATATTATAATTAATTACGTAGAAGAAGGATGGAAGGGGGTGAAATAGAAAGTCGTGCGTAGGAGTAGAAGTAGAATCAAGTTACGGAAAGCGCTGGCGGTATAGCCAACAAGCGGCGGAGTAATTGCACGCCTGTACCCAGTACGCACCTGTACTTTCCCTTACTTTACTCCATTCAATTTTCTTTTTTTATACTCGCAACGCATTTTCTATTTTTTTATTTCATTTTTTCCTTTGTAAATATCTCTCTTTCATCTTTGGATGCAATTTTTTATTTTCCTTCTTCCATCTTTTCTTGACTTCCTTTCCTATCCGTTTCCTATGGGCTATACCCTAATTCAAAACCTAGAGTTAGCCTCCCTACCTACCTACTAACTAGCTAGCTACGAAATTTCAATGGTATCCCTCGATGTTAGGAATATAGTGCCAAGTGGTGATATATAGAGTAACTGTAATTAGTCTACTCTCACATGATCAGCAATTAGTTTTTATATTTCACATTCACAAATAATTTTTAGGGTTTGTAGAGTAAAACTAATTTATAACATTGAGAAATGATTTATTCAAGTAGATAATTTAAAGTGTGTTTGGTAAAATTAATTTATAAATTTCTTAAATATATGGCCAAACATTCTCTTAACTTTTGATTAATGATAACCAAATGAAGTTTAGTTTGATGATTAGTTACACTAGTGCAAAAAAGGGTATTTACGTCACCCAATTTAAATGTTATGCCCTTTGGCCTTTGCAACGCCCCCTCTACGTTTCAGGCTATTATGAATGAACTTTTGAAGCCTTTTCTTCGAAATTTTGTCGTAGTATTTTTTTGATGATATCCTTGTTTATAGCCCTTCTTTTGAATCTCGTCTCCACCACTTGGACTCTGTGTTTTCCTCTCTTTTGCAGGAAGAATTTTTTCTGCGATCCACCAAATGTGTATTTGCCCAACAACAGCTCGAGTACCTTGGGCACATTGTTTCTTTCCAGGGTGTGGCACCAGAGCCTTCAAAGATTCAAGCCATGGTTGATTGGCCAGTTCCTAATTCTTCTACTCAACTTCGCGGTTTTTTGGGGCTTACAGGTTTTTACCGCAAATTTATCAAAGGTTATGCAGCCATTGCTTTGCCTCTTACCAACCTTCTTCGCAAGGACAACTTCAATTGGTCTCAAGAGGCCCAATCTTCTTTTGATGCTCTCAAGCAAGCCATGATGACTGCACCAGTTTTGGCTTTACCAAATTTCAGTGAGCCTTTTACACTGGAGACGGATGCCTCAGGATTAGCGATGGGTGTTGTGCTTATCCAAGGGAATCATCCTATTGCATTTTTTAGTAAGCCTTTTTTTCCTCGCCTCCAACGTGCCTCCACATATGTTCGCGAATTGCATGCTATCATTACTGCTGTTCGGAAGTGGCGTCAGTACTTGCTCAGTCATCCTTTTCGTATTCTCACTGATCACCGTAGTCTCAAAAATTTAATGTCTCAGGTCATCCAAACACCTGAACAACAAATGTATCTCTCCAAACTCTTGGGCTATGATTATTCAATACATTACAAATCAGGGGCTAGTAATGTTGTTGCTGATGCTTTGTCTCGCATCCCGATACTCACGCAATCCATTGCGGACAACTTTACTGCAAGAGTTTCACCAAACTCCTTTGGGTGGCCATTTAGGGGTAGCCAAGACCCTACATCGTTTGCAAGCAAACTTTTTCTGGACTCACATGCGAAAAGACGTCCAAACATTTGTAGCCCAATGTTCCACTTGCCAACTAATGAAATACGAGACCAAACGCCCAGCTGGCCTCCTCCAACCTCTCCTAGTAACTTCGTCAATTTGGGAAGATTTGTCCTTAGACTTTATCACTGGCCTCCCTACTTCACAAGATATGGTGTGTAAGCTTCATGGATTTCCCCGTAGCCTGGTGTTAGATCGTGATCCCATTTTTATCAGTCACTTTTGGCGCGAATTGTTTAAATTGTCTGGTACCAAGTTACGAATGAGAACCTCTTATCATCCCGAGTCTGACAGCCAAACTAAAGTATTCAACAGGGTTTTGGAACAATATTTGCGCTCTTTTGTGCATGAAAAACCCTCACAATGGTCAAAGTTCATCTCTCTAGCTGAATGGTCTTACAACACCTCTGTTCATTCTGGAACTGGTCTCACCCCTTATGAGATCACTTATGGAAAACCCCCACCTACAATTCCTCATTATATCTTAGGCTCTTCCAATATTGAGGTTATTGATTCAGTACTTACTACTCGTGAGGCTCTCTACGAATTATTACAAAAGCGTTTATCCAAAGCTCAGGCAACCATGAAGCATTCTGCTGATAGCAAACGCCGTGATGTACATTACAAAGTGGGCGACTGGGTTTATGTCAAATTGAGGCCTTATCGACAACTCTCAGTTTCGGGTTCTTATCATAAGCTTTCTAAGCGATTTTATGGTCCATTTCAGATTACTAAGCAGATTGGTTCTGTGGCTTACCGCTTACAATTGCCTCCTTCCTCTAAAATTCATCCTGTTTTCCATTGTTCACTTCTCAAACCTCACCAGGGTCCTTTGGTTCCACACTCTACTTCTTTTCCAATTCCTGCTATAGAAAACCATCCCATTGTGGAACCATTAACAATATTGGATTGTAAACTGGATGGCTCCACCTCTCCTCCCACCAAGCTAGTGCTTGTCCAATGGCTCGGTCTTGCACCCGAGGACACCAGTTGGGAAAATTGGGAAGACCTTCGTCATATTTACCACCTTGAGGACAAGGTATTTTTCCCAGGGGAAGGAGATGATAACAACATGGCTAATACTCCTAGGCCCAAAAGGATCTCCAAAAGGCCTAGCCACCTTCAGGACTTTGTTTGATATGAGTCACATGGGAGATGTGTGTGAATTGGTTACAATGGCTTTTATGCTTACGCATTTATAAATTGTTAGATTCCCTTTTCTGTTTCCGGAATGTGCGGACTGCCAATGATTGACATTTGTATTGCTTTTAAATACTACTTTGAGAATACAAAGAAGGTTTCCATCAACTACGCTGCTTCACCATGAGCTTTGAGTCACTCTTGCAACTTACTCTCTACCCTCCGAGGTCGTGAGCCAACCTTAACCTTGCTAGAAGCGCTTCATATTCTACTTGGTTATTGGTCACTTTGAAGCCAAACTTGAGAGATTGCTCTAAGGTGACCTTATTTGGCCCTTCCAAAATAATACATGCACCACCACCCTTAGAATTGGAGGACCCATCAACATGTAAAGTCCATACCCGTTGCTCGTCAGCCGAGGTTGGAGTTAGTTCGGCCACAAAATCTGCCAGACATTTAGCTTTCAGGGGGCCGCAACTCTCATATTTGATGCCAAATTCGGACAGCTTTACTGACCATGCTATCATCCGTCCGGCGAGCTCCAGCTTTCTCAGGATTTGCTTGATAGGGTAGTCGGTTTTGACGACCACCTGATGACTTTAAAAGTATGGTCGGAGGCACCGAGTCGTGGTGACAAGTGCTAGTCCAAGCTTCTCAATCATTTGGTACCGTTTTTCCGTGTCTTGAAGGACTCGGCTGATGAAGTAGATCGGCGTTTGCACCTTCTGGTGCTCTTGCACTATGACTGCGCTGATTGGGCCTTCTGCCACGGCTAGATATAGGAGAAGCTCGGAGTGATGATTTGGCCTCTGGAGGATTGGCGGAGTGGTGAATAATATTTTAAAGCTCTTGAAAGCTTCTTCACATGGGCCAGTCCATTCAAAGTTCTTCGGTTTCCGCAATAAGGTGAAGATGGGTCTTGCCTTCTCCGCTAACCTGGGGATAAAACGGGAGAGGGAAACCAACCTTCCTGCCAGGCATTGAACCTCTTTCACAGTCTGAGGGCTCTGCATCTGGATAATGGCTTTGCATTTCTCTGGGTTGGCTTCAATGCCCCTGCTGGTGATCATAAAACTAAGGAACTTACCTCCCTAGACGTCGAAGACACACTTCTCTGTATTGAGGCGCATGTTGTGTTTTCTGATCTGGCTGAACACCTCGGCCAGGTCGGCAGCATGACCTCCGGCCGAAGTGATTTTGACCACCATGTCGTCGACGTAGACCTCCATATTCTGCCCAATCTGTTGGTGGAAAACTTTGTCCATCAGTCGTTGGTAAGTGGCTCTTGCGTTTTTGAGACCGAATGGCATCACTCGGTAGCAAAAGTTGGCGTGGTCGGTGATGAACGACGTGTGCACTTCGTCCGGTGGGTACATCATGATTTGGTTGTACTCGGAGTAAGCATCTAGAAAGCTGAGGAGGGCATGCCCGGATGCTCCATCGACCAGCCTGTCGATGCTCAGTAAGGGGTATGAGTCTTTGGGGCACGCTTTGTTCAGGTCGATATAGTCGACGCACATGCGCCACTTCCCCGAGCTCTTCTTCACCAGTACCACGTTTTCCAGCCACGTGGTGTATCTGACCTCGCGGATAAAACATTAAACCTAGGCCTACCCTTCCACGAACCTTCTTGGATATGTCATTTTTAAGTTTACTGTTTCATTTTATTTTGTTTTCATTGGACTCAACTCTGAAGTGGTTTTAAAGTTCTAACCACGTTCCCTTGCTCCCTATATATATGTCCTTTCACTTGGATTTGTTTTCCAACCCACTCGTCCTTGTTAAGTCCAAATTCCCAAGTCAGCTCTCCACCACATTGTTGCTTCAATTCCAGTTCTATTCCCCATTTCCCATCAACACCTTTTTACTATATAGTTCTTATTATTAATATTTAACACTAAGTAGCTACATATACCATATCTATTTATATCTATAGCCATGCCTGAGGCTCCTAATACTAGCAGCATCATTGAGCAAAAGAATAAGAAAGCACTGAAATACATTGAGGATGTTACGAGCAACGCTGGTGAAATTCAGAAAAGGGTCCTCGCTGAGATCCTTTCTTCTAGTGCACACGTTGAGTACCTTCAACGCCATGGCTTAGATGGGTGCACAGACAGTGACACTTTCAAGAAGATCATGCCTGTGGTAACATACGAGGATTTAAAGCCAGATATTGATCGTATAGCTCATGGTGATACCTCCCCCATTCTATGTTCCAAACCTATTTCTGAGTTCCTCACTAGGTCAGTATATACTATTTATATCATAAAGTTCTTCCTCGTCCTCAATTTCTTTCATTTCTATTTTTAATTTAATTTGTTATTATCATTCTTACAATTGAAATCTTACACTCCACTTGGTAATCATTTTTTTTTTACTGAGAAATAACAATGCTTTTTGGACGCCTCATCATTTGAGACACATTATATCAATGATCTCATTTTTTTTAATGATATGATATCACTTATTTTATCTACATTTTTTTTCTCTCTTTTTTCTTTTTCTCTATAGGTGTCTAGTAGCATCCGGAGTGTACAAATATATTTTCCCGAAATATTTTGATCGCATATTCTTATGGTTCTTGTACTCGATAAATGATATTATTTTTTTATTTTAAGAAAAATGTACTTTTCACACCATAAGAGGTGAATACTCTTTGGGCGCGAGACAGGATTAAAAGAGAAAAAAAATAATGATGTTAAAAGAATATATATATATATATATATGGGAGAAATATAATTTAAGTGTATAAACTAACTAAAAAACTGTAAAAATGACGTGATGTGAGTCATATGGTGCAGGAAAGAACAATGAACATTCCCTTTTTTTTTTTTTTTTTTTTAAAAACATTTATTTTGCATAAGTTATTTTACCTTCATTTATATCGTATCTCATGAGATAAAATATTGCTAGAGTAGCGTGAGACAATAGAAGAGCTAAAGAAGCTTTTTTTTAAGGAGTGTAAGAGGAACGTGCAAAAAAAAAAGTTGATGTGAAATAAGTTGTCTTTGGAACATGCATGCATATGTGAAATCAAGAATTAGAGGTGGGCAAAAAAAACTGAACTGGTGGTGAACTGAACTGAACTGTACTATAAAAAGTTGAACTGTTTTTAAAAAAATTGAACTGAACTGTTTAAAAAAACTGAACTGAACTGAACTGTTGGAAAATTAACTGTATTGAATTATAAAACTGAACTGAATTATAAAAATTGAACTATTTTTATAAAAGGATAAAAATTAAATGTGTCTAACATGTTATGTTTTAATGGATTAACTCGATAGTCTAATAACCAAAATTTTAGAAAGAAAAAAAAGTGATAAAAAAAATTGTATCAATTTTATTTTGTCGAACCTAACGGATCAATTGAGCTATGTTGGACTACTTATTTTTAGGGTTAAAATTCACTGAGTTTGTTTGACTTAATTTTATATTTTTTCTTTGAAAAATTTAAATAAAATGGAAAATAAAGTAAAGTTGACAAATATGTCCTATTTTAATAGATCAATGAGTCAAAATTGTTCAATTCAAAATATCATAATAGTTCAGTGCAGTTTAAATTGTAGTTCAGTTCAAGTTTTTATAATATAGTTAAGTTAGTTCAATAACACAAAAAAATAGTTCAGTTCAGTTCGTCTGAACTAATATTTAGTTTAGTTCAGTTCATGAGAACTACTTTTAAGTTCAGTATAGTTTTTATAAGTTCAGTTCAGTTCAGTTCATTTTGCCCACCCTATCAAGAATGATATTTGTACACTTATTAATTATAATTAAATATCGACATCCATTATTTTTTTATTTCTCTTTTCTTTATCACGTTCATTATATCTTCTAGCATACTTATTTTTTTTATTTTATCAAATACTATATAATGTGTCCACAGATATTTTTTGTTGGGAAAATAAAAATTCGTGATGAATATTTATTGAATAATGTTCAACTTGAGAATAGGGAGGTGAGAGACAAAGAAAAAAAAATTGAGAGAAAAGAAAATTTTAAGAGAATGAAATGTATGAAATAAATTTGTAATTATCCATATTATTTGAATAATTATGTAATATAACAAGAAGTTTTATAGTGATCTTTAGACACTTCAATCAACAAAACATTCCATTATCACCACTCACTCCTAACTTTTCTTTCTCTTTTTTTGTCACACACTTCGATCATTAAAGACAAAACTTAAACTACAATATTATATATAATGTTTTGCACTATATTTTTCAATTAAAAAATTAAAATTTTACTTTAATAATATGTATTTATATTTATTTTAATTTTAATAATATACATTTTTACATATTAACAAAATAAAACAATAATTCTAATTTAAAAAATAACATGAACCATCTTTTTATTATATCAAAGTTTTATTCTTATATTACTTATTTTTCATCTTTTTATAATATCTTGAGTGTTGAAATATGTTTTTTCCAAATAAATAATAAGAAGAGATAAAAGAGATGTCCCAAGTAAGACAACAAATAAAGATGAAAAAATATTATTAAGAAGGGTGAGTGAAATAACATTATATTCCATTGATTGAATTTAGCTCTGGAACTTCTGGTGGGGAGAGAAAGTTGATGCCAACCATAGAAGACGAACTAGAGAGGAGATCACTGCTCTACAGCCTCTTGATGCCAGTGATGTCTCAATTCGTTCCTGGTTTGGACAAAGGCAAAGGAATGTACTTTCTGTTCATAAAATCCGAATCCAAAACCCCTGGTGGACTCCTGGCTCGTCCAGTTCTAACCAGCTACTACAAAAGCTCACACTTCAACAACACCAAAACACACTCACACGACCCCTACACAAACTACACTAGCCCCATTGAAACCATTCTCTGCCTAGACTCTTACCAAAGCATGTACTCTCAAATGCTATGTGGACTTTTTTTAAACCACCAAGTTCTTCGCGTTGGCGCAGTTTTCGCCTCCGGTTTCATCCGTGCCATCAAGTTCCTCGAGAGGCATTGGCTCAGGTTGTGCCACGACATAAGACATGGGACCATAGACCCTGAAATCACCGACTCCTCAGTTAGAGAGGCTGTTATGAAGATTCTTAAACCCAACCCCGAGCTTGCGGATTTCGTAGAGGGTGAGTGCAAGAAGGGGTGGTGGAAGGGGATCATTACTAGGTTGTGGCCGAATACTAAGTATGTTGATGTTATTGTTACTGGGACCATGTCTCAGTATATTTCGGTGTTGGATTACTATAGCGGTGGCTTGCCTCTTGTTTGCACCATGTATGCTTCGTCTGAGTGTTACTTTGGCCTCAACTTGAACCCTTTGTGTCAACCCACTCAGGTGTCTTACACGCTCCTTCCCACCATGGCATACTTTGAGTTCTTGCCGCTTGATAAGACAAAGGAATGTTTGGTTGATCTTGTGGATGTTGAGTTGGGTCAAGAGTATGAGCTTGTGGTCACCACCTATGCAGGTAAAGTTCCAATTCACATCAATTTCAGGAAAAAAAAAAGTTTTTCATTTTAAGAAAATGTTTATTGTGGAAAAAGTTTTATGTGAAGAGTGAAATGTGAAACACTCATTTCTTTCTTTTAAACTTTATTTTGGTTGGAATAGATTTATGAATTTTATAACCTTTTTGTTTGTATAATTAAAAATATTTAATTTTATCTCTCTATATATATATATATCATTTTTTTAAGTTTCTATATATAATTTTATAATTTTTACATTTTAGCCTCTATGATAATAGATTATAAAAATTGAAAGAAAACAAAATTAACTAATATCTATTATAACTAAGATGAAATATTTTGAACTATAGAAATTGAAAGTTAAAGTTGAAGAAGATGAATAAAAAGATATTTAAACTTTTTTTTTTCTTGCATCATATACCACTCATTATATTTACCACTTAAAAAATTAGTAGATATAAATATATATCTATTAACAGAGAGAGAGAAAACAATTATAGATTTTATATGTGATATGATGTAATAAAAATAAAAGTAATTAATATTAATAGAGATATAATATTACAAGTATTTTTGAAAAAAAGTTTCATAAGCATTTTTAAGAGAGAAAACTAGAAAGAAAAATAAAATAAAATTTTCCTATTAACTTCTTTAAAATTTTTTTAACTCATATACATAAATTAATTTTATAACAAAAAAATAATTTCAATTTTTCTCCCTATATTTTTTAAAATTACTTTATAAGAAATTTCTCTAAACAAACCTAGAGTAAAAGTGTATTCTATCATTACTCATTATTTCTCTCAAATTTCTTTTTCTCTATGGGGGTAGAGTAACAGTATACTTTCCATGCAACATTTTCCTTTGTCAAACACACTCCAAAGTGAAATTTTTGACAAAAATAACTTTTTTTCTCTCCACTTATATGCCCGTCACTGTCTTGATTGGTTAAAGATTGTTTCCCGACACTTTTCAAGAAAAATATTCCCACAAATTAGCATTGCAATTTTTTTTATGTATGAAGTTTTTATTGTGTTTGATTAAATTAATTAGCTTAATTCTAATGCTATAATATATGATACACGATCGATCCACACGCAGGACTTTATAGGTACCGCGTTGGTGACATACTCCGTGTGGCAGGATTCAAGAACAAGGCTCCTCAATTCAACTTCGTGTGCCGAAAGAACGTGGTTTTGAGCATTGATTCCGACAAGACCGACGAGGTTGAGCTACAAAACGCTGTGAAGAATGGAGCCAACCATCTGGCACAATTCGGTGCATCACTCACCGAATACACAAGCTGCACCGACACGTCCACTATCCCTGGCCACTATGTACTATACTGGGAAATTAGCATGAACAATAAGAATGATCAAATTCAGACCCCAATTCCCGCTTCTGTTTTTGAGGAGTGTTGCTTTGCAATTGAAGGGTCTCTCAACAGTGTGTATCGACAAGGAAGGGTGTCAGAGATCATTGGACCATTGGAACTCAAGATAGTGGAGAGTGGAACATTTGACAAGGTTATGGACTTTGCTCTTAGCCAGGGTGCCTCCATAAACCAGTATAAGACACCTCGTTGTGTCAAATATGCTCCAATTGTTGAGCTTCTTGACTCCAAGACCGTTTCTAATTACTTCAGTCCAAAATGCCCACACTGGGTTCCTGGTCACAAGAAGTGGTGCACCCTTGACTCCAAATAATGATACTAGTGTAGGTCCACCATAATTTGCTTTTAACTGTGATTTGTTGTGTTGAATCGTTGAAAAAAAGATCATGGTCCATTTATGTTGTAGTGTCTTTCAAGTTTTTATTATTATCCAATCTAATGTAAGATCTTTTGTCTAAGAATTCTCCTACCCAGTACTTTTTTATATTAGTAGTTAGTAAGTTATATTAACCCAAAGAATAAATTTCTCTTTATCACTCTAACCCTATGAAACTCTCCTTACGTACATCACTTATAACTCTCAAAAGTTACTTATGTCTATCAATCAAGGATAAGGAAAATCACGGTTTTGTAGTATCAACTAATATCTTTGCAGTGAGGAATGGAAATTTAAGTTGAAGTAAGTCTCACGTCCACAGGGATAACAACTATAAATGGTATACAAAGTGTGATGACCGAATACAAAATGTTTAGACATTCTTAGTGAGAGAAATATTAACCACGCATTTTTTTAATGCATTATTTTGAATATATTTATATTATTTGCAAAAAAAAATTGTTAAATATTACATAGTTTTACATCTCACTATTATTTTTGTGAGTTTTTTTTTTATGATTTTTGTAATTTTTAAATTAATTTTAACTAATAATATTGCATCAATTACGAAAAAGAAAATGTGTTACAAAATGTACCGTTATCACCCCTCTCTAAAGACAATATATATATGGTAACTCAAATAGTTAAACCACATCATCCTCTTTCTAAATTGAGCATATATGAAAAATTATAACTTGATATTAGACTCTAATAACTCATATTAGAGCCCATCCGAATTAAAAAGAATAGCAAATTTGTAGGCCACACAAATGGACTAAAGACTACACAAGTTACAATTAGATTATAAGTTTGTTTGGGTAATTTTTTCAAAAACATTTATAAAAGGAAAAATTAAAATATTTTTTTATAAGTTAAAATTAAAATTTTGGAAAAGCTTATAATTTTTTTTATAAATTAATTTATTTATGAAATATTTTATTTTTTCTTTTTAGCTCCTAATTTTTTTTAAATTACCCAAATAAATCTTATTAAATAAACCAACCTAATTGAATTTGAGAAGAAAAAAGTGTTAGAGAAATAATAAAGCTCACATCAACTAGGATAACAACAATGAAAGAGCATATATGTAGAATGTTTGAGTTAAAGAAATCTAGACTTTTTTTGACAACAGTCCAGTCGACATCACTTTCTGTATTGGATGTGCACTAGAAATTCCAAGTTAATCATCACTTGGGATCATCTAAATTCAATAACAAAATGATGAGGTGCAATTTGAAAGGGATGACAAGTAGAATTCTAGTTGAAATATTCACCTCCAAATATTGGGGAATTGACTCACGCCACAGTGTAACAGTAGATGTAGACGGATGAAGGACTGTAATTTGGGTTTGCCATGTAGGGTCACTTCTTTACTTTTCTTGTCTCTACCTTTTCCCACTCACCATTCTCCCAATATCGGGCACAATACATGTACCAAATTTGATTTCCATGCGTCTCAATCTCAAACAATATTTTTGTGAAAGGAGCTTATCATTTTTCTTTTTTTTTTTTTTTTTTTTTTTTTTTTTTTTAGAAAAAGAGAAACTTATCATTATCTTAACTTTAATGTTTAAAAATTAGTATTCTTATCAATAAAAAAAATATTATAATGATGACAACAAATTTTAAATCTAACACATTTTTTATACTACTCTAATTACACTAAAAAATCAATATATATATATATATATATGTTTATTTATTTATGTATTTTACATGGTGTTTGTTTAAAAAGAAAAACACCAAAGAATTAGAGTGGAGAGAGAAGAAATATTTGGTGATTTTTTTTTTATCATTTGTTTAAGAAGATATGGCTCATGAAAAAAATTTATGAACGTGAGGTTCAGTTTGTAAATTTCTTCACAAATATGAGGAGAAATAAGGAAGAGAGAGTGAAATTATTTAAATTTTTTTTAATATTTCTATCTCCGAAAACTCTTTCATATGAATATACAAATATATCAAAGAGTGTTATTTGAAAAAGAATCTCATCAAAATGTCAAACCAAAATTTGTTGATTGTGTTTTGGCCAAAATGTGTTGTGTGTGGTCATTAATAAAATTGAAAGTCTACGATTCGGCGATAGAAATGAATAGGGACTGAATGTACGAGTTTTATATTCAAATAGGGACTCTTTTATTTGAATGGTTTTTGTTCTTTTTATTATATATTCGTTTTATTTGAATATGATTGTTCTTTTATTCGAATAAAACAATGTTTAAGAAATTATTTTTATTCAAATAAATATGTTATTTATTCGAATGAATAAAATATTTATTCAAATAAAACTTCTTCCAATCATCAAATTATCAACATTCAACTATCAAAAATCTAATCATCTATATACATTAACCCACATCAATATATAAAGAACTAACAACATATATACATAAACTTATAACATGTATTAGATTCAACTAACCTATACATGTTCACCATTTTATCAACAAAACAACACATTTTCAAAAGGCATCCCATCATGATGCCATCCTCCCCATGCTTGACATCAATGAGGTAGAGAGCTATTGGGCTCGCTTACGCCCAACACCAATCTACTTGTGCCTAGTGTGAATGAGGTAGAGAGCCTTTATGGCAATCACGCCTAGCGTGGTTAAACCCATGTCTGCCCTCATTTCAAGTAGAGATCATTTGCTTGACTTATGCTCGGTGTCACTCCATTGACGCTCGAAATCAATATTTAGGCAGAGAGTTTCTATCTTAATCATATTGGGTGCCACTCAACTTAGGCTTGTCATCACCAAGTCAAAGGTTCTTGTCTCTCATATCACGCCTGATACCATTCAATCAATGCCTGACATGACCAAATTAAAGAACTCCCCTCAACCTCACGTCCAGTGCTACCAATCCTGTGCTCAATAAGAGTGAGGCAAAGAGCTTTGAAGTTGCATCCAGTGCGATGGAGAAATCTGCAGTCAACAAATTCATGAATTAACTCAAATTCACTTAAAACTAAAAAATTCCAAGCATACAAAGGAAAAATAAACACTACACAATATAAGCATTTCATTTCTCACCAAAACAATTATATGCAACCAAGAATCAATGAAGATTTACCCAAAATCTCCCTAATACCTCTTCAAACATTCAAAACCCCACAACACACAAAATTCATCATTTAATCATCAACACAACCATGATTTGGATGCAATCAAACAACATATAACATCAACAACCAACCAAGATTCAGTTCTAGCTTCCCTTGCCTCAGGATCACTCTGAAAAAAAGGAAGAAAAGAAATCCAATGAGGCAACTCCACACCGTGGTCCTCACATCTCAGTTATAGTTTATCCAACACTGAATCTAAACACAGCAAGATAGTCACACTCTGGGGAAGGATCTAATGCTCAAAGAAGTCAATAACACAAAGAGAAATCTCACTAGCTCCAAAGCACTTCTTTATAGACTATCTCTCTAAATTTCTTAAGAATGAACTTATGAAACTCAAGTCTTAAAAGAAACCTAATATACCTTTTCCTCGGGATCAAACTAGACCTTTGTTCAAAGAAACCCCTAATGCCTAAAACTCCTCAAGAATTTATAACGATAAACACCACAACATATAATTCAACATAATGAACATCAATTAATAAAAATGTATAATGTTATAGAAAACTTGGGTTTGATGTGTTATTTTCTTAACATTAAGGTAGTACAATCAACAACTAGAATTTTTGTGTCATAAAAGAAGTATGTTCTAGAGATTTTGAATAGATTCCAAATGGAAAAGAGCAATGTAGTTTGCCCTCCTACTTCTACAAACTTGAAGTTCAAAAGGGATTTACACTACAAGAAAAATGTAAATTTTCGACAGATATTTCCATTAGAAATTTTTGACAGAATTTTCCGTCAAAAATTTCCGACGGAAAAAAAATAAATCCGTCAGAAATTTTTGACGGAAAATTTTTGATGGAAAATTTCGTCAGAAATTTTCGACGAATTTATATTTCCATCAGAAATTTCTGACGAAAATATAAATCCGTCAGAAATTCTTATTTTTAATTCTTATTTTTAATTTCTTATTTTAAAGACACACTTCTCTGTATTGAGGCGCATGTTGTGTTTTCTGATCTGGCTGAACACCTCGGCCAGGTCGGCAGCATGACCTCCGGCCGAAGTGATTTTGACCACCATGTCGTCGACGTAGACCTCCATATTCTGCCCAATCTGTTGGTGGAAAACTTTGTCCATCAGTCGTTGGTAAGTGGCTCTTGCGTTTTTGAGACCGAATGGCATCACTCGGTAGCAAAAGTTGGCGTGGTCGGTGATGAACGACGTGTGCACTTCGTCCGGTGGGTACATCATGATTTGGTTGTACTCGGAGTAAGCATCTAGAAAGCTGAGGAGGGCATGCCCGGATGCTCCATCGACCAGCCTGTCGATGCTCAGTAAGGGGTATGAGTCTTTGGGGCACGCTTTGTTCAGGTCGATATAGTCGACGCACATGCGCCACTTCCCCGAGCTCTTCTTCACCAGTACCACGTTTTCCAGCCACGTGGTGTATCTGACCTCGCGGATGAAGCCTGCATTCAATAGCTTTTGCGTCTCGGTGATGATAGCTTCTCGCCTCTTGCCACCGACCTTCCGCTTCCTCTGGGCCACCGATTTTGCCTCTCTGTGGATTGCCAACCTGTGACAGATAAAGTTAGCATCTATACCTGGCATGTGGGCGCTGGACCATGCAAAGAGGTCGGAATTCTTGGTAATTTTGGTTTCAATTTGTTGTCGTAGCTCTAGATCGAGCTGTCGGCTTATCCTTGTGCATTGTTCAGGGAGTTTGCCAATCTGAAGGTCATCAAGCTCGTCAATGGGACTCGGCCGCTCATCATGGGATTCTGACCTTGGATCCAGGTCGGTGATGTCAACCTGGGTGATGTGAGCTACTGTAGGAGGGTCACTCTTGTGGCGCTCCTTGGATGGCAAGACCTTCAGCCTTTCAGCGTAGCATTGGCGGGTTGTCTTCTGGTTTGCTCTAACCGAGATGATCTTGTCGCTGCTCCCTGGGAACTTCATCATAAGGTGCAGGGTGGAGACCACGGCTCCGAGTTGATTCAATGTAGGCCTGCCGATGATGATGTTGTAGGATGTGTTGGCCTCCACGAGGAGGTATCTGACCATGATCCTCCTCGAGTCAGGGGGGTCCCGAAGGTCG